CTTATCACATTTGAATTGTAATTCTCTCGAAGATTTCACACCAAAACTCAATAAATTCTGAGAAATATCGAATGAGTAAATAGAATAATAATCTGGTTTGGAAAATGGATCAATAATTAATTGACCAATGGTTTCCGCATCGAAATGATCACAAAAGAATTACTTTTTTAAAGTTGAATATTATTTCATTATGGCGCCTTACTAACCGTAAACTTTGTAAGTTCGCCATATCATCATCTTCACTACCAAACAAAAAAAATGAGAAAAGAAATCTCCCTTAGCACATTTTTTAAGTAAGTGTTGTCGCTACCTTATTATTAAATAGAACTGAAAATGTTTAAGGGGAGAGAAGAAACGTAAAATAGATTGCGCTTCGGAAGAGTTTGAGGATGAAGAAGGTGTTTGGGTCTTGATATATGGACCATTTGGAATGTTAAATTGGCCTGGTTTATATGATAAGAAGAATCACAAGGCAACTATTTTGAATGCCGATGATTTAGGTGATTATGAGGTGTTATCGGTCCTTGATTTTAAATTATGTGATTCAGATGTATTCATGACCAAAGTACCTGATTATCTTCAAAGTTCTTGGAAGAGTGCTTTGGAATTAGCGTTTAATAATACAAAAGAGGAATTGATAATGAAACACTTTTTTGAAAAACAAGAAAAGACTGTTATTGATAGAATAGAGGCAGAGAACAATGAAGTTGCTCCTAGCTTGTCAATAAGTACAAAATCTTTTCTTGCAAAAGGCTTGATTTCTCTTAAACCAACAGGCATTGTGTTTGATGATAATAGAGACATGTTAAAAGTTGAAGAAGATATGGAGCGTGTGTTTGATCGAGACAAAATTGAAAATGTTGATTGTCCTATTGAGTTCTCCAAAAAACTGTTCTTCTCCTACAAGAACAACAATCCAACTCCATTACTCTCACCACTCTATGCATTGCAGAACTTACATTTTGAACAGGAATCAGAAATGAACTATCAGGAAACTCTTTCCATTCTGTTTGCCTTTCTTATTAGTATTTCACAGGGAAAATTGACCTCTACTGGGTATGTAATCAATTCTTTTAAATTCTGGAATTGAGACAACAATCACTCGAAAATCAATTCTTTTAAATTCCAGGCAACAATCACTGGAAAATCAAACAAGATTGGCACAATATTTCACAACCAAATATTTCTTACCTGATAAAATACTGACTCGCAGAAATATTATTCAAGACCATGATTGGAGGTGCTTTTTTGGAGAATGGAAACCAGTTGAAGTGGATTCTATTTACGACCATCCAGACTTTAAGAAAATTGTGTTTCTAATGAGAGGATCTTTAAAAGAATTGATGAATAACTTGTTCTCAAATGATTTACTTAATTCAGATACTGAATTGGACACCTTTGGATCGCTCTCAGGTGGGACCAAAATTTGCTTTTTAAGACTTTATCTTGTTCCAAAGAGTAGTAATACTACAATTTTTAGTTATAGTTTTAGATTATTCAGTTCGGAATGGTATGATATTAACACATCGAACGGAAGAGCTAAAGCTGTATCAATACTTCTTCAAATTGGAAAAAACTGTTTGAACAAGAGTTTCAATAATGAAGCCCAAAAAAAGGTGAGGAACATATCTGATACACCAACAACTTCAAAGTCCAATACAGATCCAGGACTTTTTGATATAACGAATCAGTCAATTATGATACATCAATTTTTCCCTCAACGAATGTTATATGAATTCAAAACGCCCGATGAAGCCATTAAACATTTTTCTCAAATACTACGATATCCACTACCTGTTGAAGAAGAAATCCAAAAAGAACTCAAAAGCTCTTGTCACAAAACTTTTCTGAACCAAAAAGGCAGAACCTTACTATTTTTTACTAAGGAAAAACCTTACGAATTGAATATTTATCCAAGGGGACAATTGTGTCCCCATCCTATGAATGAAATTCAATTATTTTTCAATACTGAAGGTGAGAAGTTTACTTATAGGTATTGGTTTCTTAAAGTTTCAATGAGAACAATTGAATATATATATTCTAGAATTGAAGATGGGAACGATCAAGAAGATTTTGAGGATGAAAATGAAAGGAAAGACGATTGTACCGTAGACAATAACATTGATCATAACGATAACAACAATACTTCTCTTTTTAAACTTTCCCAAAGTATTCATGATCTTGATTTAGGATTAGACTTTAGCAACTTGCAAATGGAAAAGTTAGAACAAAAATCAATTCTAGGAACCATACAATATAAGAATAAGGAATCTTATTTCAAGATTACAAATAGAGAAATCGACAATGTGTTTGTAATGAAATTGATGAAAGAAATTAGAGACCCTAATATTTGCAATATTTTCTATTATGGACCTGTAAATAGCCAATTAAATATTACAGTTCAAGAAAAATTATTAAACTATGATGAGCTGATAAAAAAGATGCAAAGTAATCAAGAGTATCAAGGAAATTCCATTATAAGAACAATCATACTGAAGACATTGATAGGGTGTTTACATGCTCTTAAATGCATTCATAATAAGGGCATTGTTCATTGTGATGTCAGTGTTCATAACATTATGTTTAGAATGAAAACCAGTTACGATTTTGATGCTGTTTTAATAGATTTCAATAACTCTAAATGCTTGAATTCCAATCAACAAAGTATATTGAATTACAAAGATGATTACACACCTCAAGATCCGAATATCAGATTCACGGTAAAACATGATATATTTGCACTGTCTGTGGTTATTAAAAAGATAATGGCAAACTATTCCAGGGTTTGTGAAGAGATTTGTAATGACATTCATTTTGAAGAATACAACATTATTCCAATCTCTAATTGTATTAAGAAAATGAGTGCAGTTCAGTATTCAAGAGTTACTGAAGTATTGGATGACGTTGTCTCTTTCTGTATGACCATTTAAAGTCGAACCATTATATTATAATTATATGAGAATAATCAAAAATATGCAACGAACTTAATGATATCTCTAAATGATTTTACGCCTTCAAGTGTTGATTCATTCCTTTGGACATTGTCATACCGCTAGGAGGAGAGTTCTCCCTTTGATTCCTTCCACATCAGCCATAGCTACGTTCAAACCATAGCAACATCTAGGATATGAATTAGTTGTGGTATTCCATTCTTAATTGATTGGATACTTCTTCACTAAGTACATTATAGTCAATATCAAGAATGGTCAATTGTTTCATTCCACAAATGGATTTTGCTCCTTCATCACAAATTTCATTTGAATAAATATAAAGTGTCGATAGTTGATCGAGATTACTTATTGCTTTTGCTCCTTCATCTGTTATTTCATTATAGGCAATATCAAGAATTGTTAATTGTTGCATAGTACTGATATATTTGGCTCCTTCATCTCTAATTCTGTTTCCATAAACAAATAACCCTGTCAAATTATTGAGCTCACTCAAAATTTTGGCTCCTTCAGTTTCGATAACGTTGTTTGTGAGATCAAGTGAAGTCAATTGATGAGATTTGCTTATGAACTTGGCACCCTCAATGCTTATTTGATTTTCAGCCACACCCAGAGTAGTTAAACACTGCATAGTACTTAAATACTTGATTCCCTCATCTTGTATTAAATTATGACCGATTTGGAGATTAGTTAAATTGTCTAATTGACTGATAGATTTTGCTCCTTCATGTCCAATTCGATTCCCATTGATGTCAAGTTGTGTCAAACTCTTCAAATTAGTAATTGATTCAACACTTTCAATTTTGTTATAGCTCAAGTCAAGGAATGTTAAATTCTTCAACCCACAAATTGATTTAAATCCTTGATTAATATTGCATGATGGTACATTAAGTGTGGTCAGCTTTTTAAATTGACCAATACATTCCAAGTCACCATCAGCAATATTTCGACCCCTTATAGTTAGAAATGTTAAATTGGACAGGTGACTAATTGGATCGAAACCTTTTGGCTCAAGGTTAGAACCATAAAATTCAAGACGAGTTAATTGATTCATTTCACGAATGAAATCAGTAGATTTACCATCTAATCCAAGTATAACAAGTGATTCCAAATTGAGTAATGTGCTAAGTGAGCTAAATCCTTTCATCCCAATATTGTTGCAAGCTGTAATGAGATTTTTCAATTGTTTCATTTCACCTAATAATATAGCCCCTTCATCTTCAATTGGATTGTTTCCAATATTTAGATTAGTAAGATGTTTCATTTTACAGAGTGATTTAACACCTTCTGATCGAATATTATTATCCATAACATCTAAATCAGTTAATTGTTCCATTCTACTTATCAGCTCAATACCTTCATTTCCAATCATATTGGTATTAATATCAAGGAATGTTAATTTTCTCATTTGGGCAATGTGAGCTGCTCCTTCAGATTTTAAATGATTGTCTCCTATTTCGAGGGATGTTAGTTCTTTCAATTTACTTAGTTCTTTAGCACCTTCAACACCCATTTTGGTTTGATAAACATTGAGTTTAGTTAATTTACTCAATTGACTGATAGTAATAGCTCCTTTACAATTAATATTATTTAAACTAATATCAAGTTCAGTTAATTGCTTCATTTCACCAATAAAATTGACATCTTCTGCTTCCAAACGACAATAGCTAATTTCTAATCTAATCATTCCTTTCATGAATATTCCAATATTTGTACAAAACCATTTCGCAATCTTTGAATAAACTTTCACATTGGATAAACATGTTAATAATTCACATTTTGACATTTGATTTTTCTGTTCATCATTTAGTTTTTGATTAAAATAAATGGAAAGATTCAACAATGATGAATTGTGTTTAATAACATTTAGCCATTGTTGAGAAATTAATGAACAAGTTGTGAAAATAAATTTCCAATCATTTGCCAAATGGGAAAGAATTTCAAAACAAATATCGTCGGAAAAGAGTTCTGGTTTCTTGATCATTTTTTTTAACTTTCAAAAGGACGCGTACAATTCCTAAAATCGTTTGCTTTAACATAAGCATTCATATTTAATTTTACAAATAGGTAACAAGTCATTTGAACAAGAAGCGTCGATGGTTTAGTGGTAGAATACGGCGTTGCCATCGCCGTGACCCGGGTTCAATTCCCGGTCGACGCATCTCAAGATTGTCAATTTTTGCCTTATCTACAAAGAGTACAACTTCCAATTTTTTACCCCATAAACTAGACATGTAGGGCTACAATTATCTCAAAAATATCTTCTTTAAATATACTAATGATCGAGATAATGCCCACAGTTTTGACCTAATTTTTTTCCAAGGTCAGGATGGACTCAATTGCCTGTCACCCACTCGTTACTTTATTATCTTTGCTCTTCGAATTTATAGATCTTTATCACTAATAACAGACTGTAATTCCTACAAAATTTACTTAATCATCAGTTCCAAACACAATATCCATCTAGAAAGAGACACAGCTTCGACCCCATTTGTTTCTTCTCATTATAATGTGAGCTCATTTAAGTTCAAACTAGAAAAATTGTCCTCAAATCCAAGTATTCAATTGTCCTCTACTGAGGAGTTGAGCAATTTTGTTAGCGGATTTTTTAAGAAACACTCCCAATAAGGAAAAGTCACAAAATCAAATCAAAAAAAAACAAAATCATTAATACCTCCATCAAAACATGTCCAATACTTGTCCTGTTAAATCAATGAAAACCAATTACGTTGTTCTCATGAATCCATTTCACATTGATGTGAAAGATGAGAAGGAATTTGAATTGGGTTGGACTGTTTGCGCAGAATTCTTTAAAAAACAAGATGGTTTCATTCATACTTCACTTCATAAGGCACTCGATATGGAAAAATCTCAATATCAATATATTAATTATGCTCATTGGGAATCTGTTGAGAAATTTCAAAAGGCACTTGGAGAAATGATTGTTTTAGGAGGATGACTCAAATTCCTCATCAAAACTTCCCTGCACTTTACAAGGTACATATCGAAATGTAAAATAAAGTATTTAGCAATTATCTAATTGAACAAGTGAATGTGATGGTTCGAATAATTTTGTCTAGAGGGTACATCGTCCTTAATATCACAGAAAGATGCACCACTCTCAAACATTGCATTACAAAAGATGCTTTTAATCCATGAATAACCATATATTAGGATAGATTTTCCTATTGCAATCAAAAAGACTACAGCACCACAGGTTCCCAAGTTGTCTCCAACCTCAGTACTGATGTGGCTCGACGATGCTTAACTTCTCAAATCGGACGGGATGAGGTGCATTCATCGTGATATGGCCGTAGCCATACACTTCCTCAAATTGTGAAATATAATTGTACCGGTAGTCATTAATTTGAATCCTGAAATATTTGTTCAACAGAAACACATGTCCTGTACAACAATGAAATTGAGCATTGCTTATGACAAGTAAATGCATGGATGTGAGCTTCAAAATATGAAAGTTACATTTTCCAAAAATATAAATAGATAGCAAGTGGGTTGAATGAGTGAAATTGTCTCTTGTTCAATTAAAAAAAAAAGAAACCTACTGCAATGAATACTATAGCTATTATGATTATAGATTCATTGAGCCCTCTTGTACTTTTCCTAATCAATTAATAGTTGAGAATAGAGTTCAAGAGGGCTGACAATTATTTCTCTCACTTAGTATTTGCAGAATTCATCAAATCCACAGCACTCCTAATATCAAGAACAAAACCACAATTATATGATAGCAGATTGAATCATTTCAGTTTTAAATAAATCTCTGTTGTACAATTCACACAATATTAAACTCTTCTCATAAATCAAAGTAATTTACTAAATGAACTACTGCCTCAAACACAGTAGGGCAACTTCAGTTATGAACAATAATAAGATCTGATTCTTCTGGGTATTTAATTCTCTTCTTTTTTTATTTACAAATTTAGGATATTTACATTTAGTTCTCTTTTCAATTGAATTTTTCGAAGATCTTTTCACTGAAATTTGTTTACCATTTAAATTTGCATGATGATAATCAATATTATTACGATGTCTAGTTCCACTTATAATATTTGAAGTATCAATATCAAATAATGGTAATCTTTTAGATAAATCAATTGGTTTAGATCTTGTCCATTCTGTTTTTGTTGGAATTTTATCTTTGGAAGAATGTGATGAAGTATTTCTAGCTGGCATTTTGCTCTTAGTGTTTGTTATTTAGTTATTTTGTTTTGTTGTGGAAATATCATCATCCGATCAGTTATCTATTTACTTCCAAGATGATTTCCACTAATTTTGTGATTCCGATTTTTAACAAGAAGTTTGAATTTTTCTATTAATATTTTGATGAAGGAAATTTAATGAAAATCTACAAAAGAAAATAACAAAATAATAATAAGAAAATGGTCTCAACAAGAAGAAATATGTATAATTCCTCCAATAACACTTCACCAATAATGTTATCCAAGGAAATTTCGGAAATGAAACAAGTAAAACTTCTAAATCTCAATCACATAATACTTTAGAAATGAGAAACAAACAATTCAAAATGTGGTAATCTCCACAACTCACAATTTTGTAAACCTAGGCGATCATTGTAAATAAAACTTAAAGTATTCAATTCTAACATTTTGCTCAAATATCAATCTTCTCAATCTTTGAAAAGCAATATTGGAACTTTTCCATTTTGAATCATCGTTCCAAGTAACTACATTTTTACAAAATCAATATGAGTGTTAAATGAGAATATTGTGAACTAATATACGGCCATATTAAATATTTCATTTTTTTTGATTGATAATCAATTTACTGCCCTTACTACTGTGAGGAACATATTATTGTATTATTTAAATTTCAATTGTTAAATTAGACGGGAAGCCTGCCAGGAATATGGCGACTATCCCGCTACAGTCTTTGACTGTATGAACAGTGAAGGCAACGAATCTATTGATTGTTGGTTCAGTAAGTTTGTTATTTAGAAAAGCTTGCTACGTGACCATCTATATATCACCTTTGAATTTTATCATTTAGAAAGAGATACTTGTGGTTGATCAATAAAAGATCAATTTACGGATTTGAGTCTTCAAATATTTGCTTTTACTTTTTCAAAAACAATAGTATAGTATTAGACTTCTTTGAAGAGGATTAAACACATACCTAGCAAGTGTTAATTTCCATGACAAATGTCAAATCTTTAGAACAACACTTGTCTAACTCCAATACAGTGCAATGAAGATAACTAAACATTTAGTTGATGTTCATTCAGAAGAATTGTGAGCTCAAGATTAGCTTTGAATACACAATCTACATTTAACCATGTTGATTAAAGTAAATTAAAGGAAAGTGTTGATATTCCGATCTTGATAGAATTTAATTTTAGTTTATTGGCAGCTAGGGTATTAATTTTCTATTAATTGATAAAAAGTTTAAGGTACCAATCTGCATGTTCACAAATCCCCCATTCACAAACCATGGCTGGTAAGGAATGCAGCAATCATCTATGAACGAGGAAACCTACAGCGAAGCATGTTTCCAGTTCGATATCATGCTCAAGATATGTGACTACAGAGTCTTCATCTTGGTTAACCTCAAAGGTCAGATTGACTCAAAAAAGTCGAGTTTATGTATTCCTACAGAAAAGATCCTGTAGAAGTACAGTCAATGGTTTTATCAATCTTGCATCCTCAATGATGTTATATTGGTTCTGAAAGTGTAAATTGTTATGCAGAAAAGTTATGGTTAAAAAATTGGGAAAAAATTCAATAACAGATTCAAGAAAATATTTGAAAGAATAAGGCTACCAGTCAGGCTTTCTTGGTGAATAAAGATGATAATACGAAAGTAAGAAGGACCTTCAGTGTAGTTGTGTACTTTAGAAAATAGAATTCTATTTCAGTGTGATAAAGAATGAATGTGAATGAATGTGAAGCAGGGGTTCCCGAGTGGTCAAAGGGGGTAGACTCAAGTTCTACTGCGCAAGCTTCGTGGGTTCAAATCCCACCTTCTGCAGCTTTTGTCTCTTTTTACTTGAGCTCTTTTTATTAAGACACATGAAAGCCACAAAAGGCACTCCAAAATGTCTAGTTGATATGGTAAAAAATTTGAATACATTTATCAAGTATATATCAAGACAATCAGCAATGATTACACCCACAAACATTTCAAAGTGAAAAAATATGAAAAAAATACAATCTAATTAGTTATTCGATATTAACATGCTAATTTTCACCTTTTGTGCTTTTAAATTACAATATATCCCAAGTTCCAAAATTTGTGTAGAGAAACAAAACTAGTTCAAAGCTCAACTAGCTCTTTCAAAGAACTTTTATCTAAAAATACACAAAAACCGCAGATTCACATAAATAGTGGGAAGATTTAGGTTTGAATTTCAACAATAAGAAAAAAACAATTCAAACCAATCATGCAATTATTTGTCAAGACACTCACTGGTAAAACTATCACATTGGAAGTTGAATCAAACGATTCAATTGAAAATGTTAAAAGAAAGGTTCAAGATAAGGAAGGAGTTCCACCAGAACAACAAAGGCTCATCTACGCAGGTAAACAATTGGAAGATGGCAGAACTTTCAATGATTATAACATTCAAAAAGACTCCACTCTTCATTTGGTGTTGAGATTGAGAGGAGGAATGCAACTTTTTGTGAAAACATTGACAGGAAAGACCATTACTATTGAAACGGAATCGAATGACACTATTGAGAATATGAAACAAAAGATTTTTGATAAGGAAGGAATTCCATCGGATCAACAACGTTTGATTTATGCTGGTAAACAATTGGAAGATGGTAGAACTATCTCAGATTACAATCTTCAAAAGGATTCAACTGTCCATTTGGTATTGAGATTGAGAGGTGGTTATTAATAAATAAATAAGAAGTATTCATTTATTCTACATTTGATGATTTGATAGCATTCTTAAGTTTGTGATCGAGTTCTAATAAGTCATCATAATCATTGTTTCGTTTCCTCTTTTCTTGACTTTCCTTCTTCTCATCTACTATCACTTCCACTTTCAATTTCTTCTCATCAACATCTACCTTCAAAGTACAATGCTTGTCCAATTTTCCTTGATAGAAGAGGTCTGAAATTGGTGCCGATAAGTAGTTTTGAATATTTCTCTTAATTGGACGAGCACCCAACTGAATATCAAATGAGTTAAAAATTAAGAATTGTCTAGCTTCAGTAGAGAGTTCAATCTTGATTTCTCTCTTCTTTGAAAGTCTTTCTTCTAACTTTCTCAATTGAATTGACAAAATCTTATCCAAATCATGCATGGAAAGCTCATTGAAAATGACGATATCATCTAATCTATTGAGGAATTCAGGAGCAAAAGTTTCCTTGATTTCTTCATGGAAGATTTCTTGTTGTGTCAAATCCTTGTCCTCTTCCTTGTGTTGGAACAATCGTTTTGTACCCACATTAGATGTAAGAATGATAATTGTATCTTTCAGAGAAACACTTTCACCATAATTATTCTGACAAACACCTTCCTCAAAAACTGGTAATAAAATATTCCAAACTCTACTGTGTGCCTTTTCAATTTCATCAAAAATAATTACTTGGAATGGATTCTTCTTGATTGTGTTGGTTAGCTCGCCACCATCATCGTAACCTACATAGCCAGCCGATGTGCCTATCAATCCGGATACAGAGAACTCAGTATTATACTTTGTCATGTCAATTACAGATACAGAATTTTCATTTCCATAAACAACTTTAGCTATTTGTTTAGCAAGCTCAGTTTTACCAACCCCTGAAAATCCACAAAATAGGAGTGAAGCTTGAGGTTTGTTAGCATCTCTGAGACCTAGCTTGGCAACTCGTATTGTTTTTGAAATGGAAGAAATTGCTTGTTTTTGTCCAATTACCTGTTCTTCCAAGATAGACTCCATATTATTAAGAGAATGATTCTTTTGAGTTGTGAAATACAAATCCTTTTGAGGAATTCCAGACATTCTAGAAATCACTACAGACAAGTCATCCAAAGTAGCTCTATTGTTGACATATTTGTTTTTGGCAGACTGTTTTTCAAAGATTTTCAAACTTGCCTTCACTTCTGGAATATCATCTTCAATTATTTTTGATGCCCTCTTGGCAGACTCGCAGTCAGGACTGGTAATAGATGCAATACAATCACCAAGTTCCTTCTTCAACCCTATTAATCTAACTCTATTTTCTCTGTAAGACTGAAGAGCTTGGTACTCAGCCTTCCAAGCAGAATATTTTGTTGCGTATGATTCCTTAAGCTTTTCCAATTTTTTCATTAATGAAGAAGTATCAATATCATCATCACTCTTTTTGTCAATATCAATTGACACCTTCTTAATCTTATCCTCTAACTCCAATACATTAATAGGAATTGAACAACCTCTCTTTTCAACAATTGATGCCAACTCATCTAGAACTGAAATACATTTCATTGGATTTGCCTTGAGTGGGATATATCTATTAGAGAGTAAGAGAGCCTCTTCAACGATATCATTATCAATAAAAACTCCATGAGATGCTTCCAAATATTCCTTCTTCTTTGTTACAATATCCAATGTAGTGGCAAAGTTTGGCTCACCAACTTTGATAACTTCAAAATGAGAAGCAAGTGGATTCTTTGTGAATTTGGCATACTCAGATGGTGTCATACATGTTACTAATTTAAGCCTCTTCTTTTCCAATAAAGGTTGCAAAACTGATGATACACTATCATAGAAAGAGTATGAATAATCATCTACCATATTATAAAATTGATGAATAAATAAAATCTTAGGTTGATTAGTTTTTTCTCTATTTTCTCTATATAATTGTACAGATTCAACCATTTCGTTGAACAATCTTTCGACATCCTCATCATGAGCTGTTGGAGGCGGATTATTTCCGTATAGATGCGCTTTCTTTTCCTCAATCGACATTAATTTTGGATTTGGAGGCAAATCATAATTAAAGGCATCATAAACCTTGAGTGATTTCAATGCATTGAAGAAGGTTGTGCAAATATTATTTGTAACATTGCATCCATACAAGTTATCAACAGAGAGCTCAATTATTTTTGTGTTCCTCAAACGTTCTGGAACATTTTCTGGATTTTTAGTAATCTTATAGGCCAATGATTCAATAATTGATCTTCTTCCAACACCATTTTCACCAACTATTTGAATGTGTAAAAATATATGTTGATCCAAAATTAAACTAACCTAAAATAATATTATTGTGACTTTCAACATTTGAAAGAATATTCATAACTTTGTTAACATCCTCTCGTCTTTCTCCACTAAAATCAATTAAATTATTTTGAGCTTTAAAATTGAGGCATTCACCATAGAGAGGTTCATGAGGGTTGACGGCCATTGATCTCTTTTTAGGAACAACCATCTTTGATTCGCTTCCTTCCGAGTGAGCTAAATGAGATGAATTTAAAGAAGTTGGATGTTCGTCTGGTTTCTTCAATTCATCACCCTTCACTTCTGGTTTGTTGGTTGCTTTGTTCATCTTTTTCAAATCATCCTCCGAAAAATCAAAAAATGTTCTTTTACTATTCGACCCATTCATCATGATAATTGATTGTTGATGTTCCTTCTTGATACAAGGCTTCAAGAGACTTGAATCTCTTCCTCCCTTTACTGCTCTAAAAACCAATCGTTTCATATTATTGATGATGTTAATTCTAATTCAAAACAAGAGGGTGAATTCTCCTAGGGATTTGAGCTTATTTTTTTTTGATTGATCGTAATGGAGGCTTTTCACTTGCTCCACTCAATCAAAACAAGTTCAATTCATATTCCAAATCTTGATAAATCAGTTTCTTCTTCATATTCCTATTTGATTTCAAATTCATCTCGTTAAAATCTTTTTGAATTTTAAATCATTTTCATTAACAAGATGAAAGTACATTCCGAAATGCTTTTTATTTTTATAAAATCAACCAATAAAATTTCATAGGATTTCTAATTGTAAAAAGCCTTCATAATCCTGCTAGAATATTCTTCTTCCATCTGATGATAATTGGTCCAATTATCAGCTTTGGCTCATCTCCTTGCAGTACTAATTTACATTTAAAAAAGAGCTAAAATTAAATTTTTTTAAAATTGAAAATTAAAAAAATGAGCGAAGCCAAGAAACAAAGCTGCAGATATTACGAACAACAACATCCAGAAGTCGACGACCTTGTGATGGTCAAAGTCAAGCATATCACCGATATCGGTGCCTATGTTTCTTTATTGGAATATAACAACATTGAAGGTCTTATCTTGAGCAGTGAATTGAGTAGAAAAAGAATTCGTTCTATTTCTCAATTAATCCGTTTAGGAAGAAATGAAGTTTGTGTTGTTTTGCGTGTTGATCCTGAAAAGGGATATATTGACTTGAGTAAGAGTAAAGTTGCTGCTGAAGATATTCCAAAATGTGAAGAGAAATATAACAAGAGCAAGGCTGTTAGTTCTATCATGAGACACTTGGCTGAAACAACTGACCAAGACTTGGAAGAATTGAACAAATTAATTTCATGGCCATTATATAGAAAGTTTGGACATGCTTTTGATGCTTTCAAGATGACTTTAACAAATCCAGACCAAGTTTTCCAAGATATTGAATTCCCTGATAATAATACCAAAGAACAATTACTTTCAATCATACAAAATCGTTTGAAGCCTCAACCAGTTAAATTGAGAGCCGATATTCAAGTAACTTGTTATTCATATGAAGGAATTGAAGCTGTGAAAGAAGCTTTATCTGAAGGTGAAAAGATTGGTACCGAAGAAGAAATCGACATCAAGATTACCCTTGTTGCTCCTCCTCTCTATGTTATGGCAACAACAACAAGTGATAAACAAAAGGGTTTGGATACATTACAAGCTTCTATTGATAAGATTACCGAAATTATCAAGAAGTATGACGGTGAAGTTACAGTTAAAGCTCCTCCAAGAGTTGTTAACGAAAAGGATGACCATTCTTTGACTGTCCTCTTGGAAAATTTGAGAGAACAAAACAAGGAAGTTGATGGCGATGAAGAAGAAGAATACATTGGTATGTAATTCCATCACATCATCAAGACCTTGCTTGTAATAAAAAAAATATTAAATTATTAAAAATTACTTTATTTTAATATTAAAATAATTACAATAAGCTAATATTTTAAAATTATTTAAATATCACTCAAGGTTTGTTTCATTAACTGTTAAAGATTATTCCAATTATTCGTTCTTTTATGGAAAATAGAAAAAAACAATTCAACAAAAGGCGACTGAGGGAATTGAACCCTCGACCCTCAGTTTACAAGACTGATGCACTACCACTGTGCTAAGCCGCCTTACATTGGATTTCATCATAAGTGATAAAGACAACGACGAACGACGCCAAAACAATTAATCTCACTTTCCAATATAATAATATTGTAAATCTAATCTTTTTAATTTGCTAGTAAGCTGTGGTTTATTACATTCCAAATGTTCATAATGAAAGGTGTTGAAGCTCTTCTTGCAACATAATATTAAAAGTCATAATAAGTAATGCACTTGATTTTACCATGACTATTTGCTATTCCTCAATATTTCAGAAATTTCCTTATTGGCACTTGATAATCTATCCATTAAATCTATCATATCATGCAGGCAATGTTCTTGAATTCCATTAAAAAGGTCCAACTCTAAACTTCCATTCTCAATAATCGCAGATAATTCTTGTTTTCTTTCTTGAATTTTTGGCATGTTCAATTCTAAAGGAGCTTCCAGTGATAAATAGGCCTCGACTATATGGAGAGCAATCTTCTTTCTATTTCCCTTTCCACTCTTTTTGTATCGTTCAATATCTCTCCAACATAGAACACTTTCAGTACAGTAGCTTCTTCTAGCAAAATCAAGAACAATATCAAATGTCTTTTTGTTTTTCAATAATCTTTCAAACCCAGTATCACCCGATTCTTGATGTTTCTTCTCTTTTCCTATAGAGTATAGAACAGGTAATGAAACACAAACAATCACCTCTAAAAGCATGTATCCCCAAATGAGAAATCCATAAGGTACATAGTAATCCACAAGATTCTTAATCACATTAATGGATCCACATACAATGAAGAGAACTGCAGCAACAATTTGAAAGAATATTAGAGCAAGACTCTCCTTCTTAATTCCCCATGAATCTCTATCAGCCATCAGACACAAGATGAAAAAGACCAGCTCTAAAATAATATAGGCAATTGATTCAACTCCAATAATGATAGTAGTATTGGTTGACAATCCACAGCCATGCTCAAACAATAGAATACCTCCTTCTAATAGGAATATTCTCCCCTTAGTTGGATCTTTTTGATAAACAACCTCTTCCACCACTCCAATCAGTACCCAAAGTAAAATTCCAAATACAAATGCAAGAATGTACACAACAGTGATGAATTTGTAACTAATTAAAAAGTTGTAAATATTCAATTTTCTCATTTCCTTCTTTACATCTGACAAGTTTTTAAATTCGATTTTAGAGTTTGAAACGTCTCCATCTTCATTTCCTTCATTCAATTCCACATTTGTCAATGACATTTCACTGCTAATATCTGAGTCAACCAACTTTAACTCTGTTTTACTCATAGTTTCAGATAGAGCTGATTGAGATTGATCAACTCTGACTTGTCCCTTATTTACATCAACATCAAATAATTTGGTTTTTTGTAAATTAATCTTGTGCATGAGAAAAGTTCTCATCAATCTAAAAATCGTTGGCAATGTCACAGCTTGAGGAAATGTAAAGAAGAAAATTGTAACCAATCCACATGGAAATATCTTTCTCCCCACAATAAATCTCATGGTCATTCCAAAGATGAATATAAAGGCAGAAAATAGAGTGAAAAACAAGTAGATTGGACTTCTTGCTTGAATGTGACCACTATTTCTCTTCCAAATTACTCCCAAACCACTTGAGAAGATTGTTGACAAGTAAATGAGAAGAAATGTCAAACACAGAGCTATTAATGTAAATTCAAATATGTCAGCACTATTAAAACATACCAAATGCTAAACATTGTCCATTTACGCATGCACCATCGGTTCATAAATCATTGTAGAAATCACTTACCAACCCAAGTATCTGGACATAGTGAATAGTCAACTCGTCCAGGAAATTCTCTTGACCATGTTGAATTGAAAAAAGAGGCATCACATATTGCGCTTGTTTGGTTGTTGGTTGCATTGAAATTATCTGCAGTAGTTGCAAATAGTTGAAAGACCATTTTTTTATCTATTTGCTATCTATTGGCAAGAAGTTCATCACAAACGGTTGATAGGAGACATATTGAGTTTAGGTGCTTGGCATTTGAATTACCTAAAATGTGGCCTTGCAAGAGTTTCTACTACAGGGTCAACTAGTATTAAAACTTGGAACGGGATTTGGTAGAATAGTGAAATAAAAGGTGTAAGTTTATTAATGTCTCTTGTATCAATAACGACCTGAGAGACCACACTTTTCGGCATTTAAGGACTCTGTGCAACATTTGAATGATTTGTGTTATAATTGAATAACTTATATTGTTTTTGATTTATTCGAATTCTCTGTGCCATTTCTGGATCCAAAACTATTCGTCCACAACAACCTTAGAGGATACAATTTGAAATTCACCAATCATAATACACTGCAGATTGAAATATGAATTTAACAGTATACATATTATTTAAAAATCATCTTGAACTCTATTCTCTTATTCATCTTAGCAATTGCTCGGAATATGTGTATTGATGGATTAAAAACTCTAACTACAAAACTTTCAAAACATGTTATTGATGCTGACACTATGAATGGAGTTGCATTTACAACGCACTTTGTTTTTCCATATTACCAAATACGATTCTGTGATTAGTTTTGGAACGGTATTTACCTTGCCATTCTTGTAACAATGTCTTACTGTTTTGTACTAAATCTTTTATGTCAAGTCCTTTATTCATGTCGTTTCGTCTTTTCTTTTTTAGGGGTAAGGACTTTCGAGAATGTAGTCCATAGTATTCCCACACTTGAGGTACTTTTCAGCAGGGATTATTTCTTGATTTGTATCATCATGGATTCCATCCTTCTCCGTATTCATATAATCGAACTGTAGAGTTGCATTTACAACTTTGATGTTCTCTCCATGTTTGAAAATCTTTGCGTGAAAGCACTGAGAATTTCCCTTAACTCAGCATTAAGCTCATAGAGTTGAGACTCTTGTTGTTCAAAAGATTGGTCAGCCACTTGTTTGGAGAATCTATTCGAGAGGAAGAGAGCAGTCATTGTACTCCAATAGTGCCATACGCTATTTTCTGCTGGAATAATTCTATTCAGAGCATTGTAATATTTGGATTTCAAATTGGAAAATTTTCTGAAAACTTGTTGAGGTTTTTCTAAAATATTGCTTTCTCCCAATAGAATATTATCAACTAAATATCCAGCAATTTTGTTCTTCTTATTGACAAATGATAATTGATCCTTTAAAAGAGATTTGATGAAAGGGTCGTTGGTCATGGTTGCAAATCCTGACGATTTGTCTGAATCCTTCTTTTGTGTTGTAATTGGTTTCTTATCAAAGGATGGTAACAACATTTTGGAAGTCTCCTTAGAGAGCATGTTAGAGAAGGTTCTTGCCATTATTTTAGCCATCAATTCATTTTGCTTACCAGCAATCTTTCTAATAAATTGAGGATTATTCAAATATGATTGAATAATTTTACCAACAGCCATGTGAATAGACTGTCTAGCTGCAATATTGATTGCAATACCAATCAATGCACCAAATGTCATCCAAATACTTTTAGAAACAAATATTGAGCTGAGTGGTGTATCTTCTAATCTTCTTCCCAAAGATTTGTCTCTCAAGTAATCTAAACAGGTGGTAACAACAGAGGCACATCCTCCAGCTCCAAACATTGTTCCTACAACAAATCCAATAAATTGAGCATCTTTCATAGTGATTGGAGTTTTCTTCAATGGCTTTTTCTTACCTGTTGAATTGATATTGGTTGCTGGTTTTTCAATAAATTTCTCAGAGAGCTTTTTAAACAATGCTGGGAATATTCTACTACCAAAAATTGAAATGAAGAAAAGGGCTTGATTGAATGATGAATATTGATGAGCTCTTTCTATCATGATAATCTTTAAAAATCTAACAATTTTTTGAATGACAGCTGGTTGTTTCTTATTTTGAACTAATTTAAATGATTGTGATACAGTTTCTGAATTGGAAATAGTATTAATTTCTCTAATGGTATTTTCAGCAAGGAATCTAAACTCTTGAATTTTGATTTCATCTTCTGAATTGATTGTACCCATTCTCCATTTTGCAATAATATTAATAATTGTCAAACATGATGTGACAATCAAGCTTGATTTGGCTGTAAATATTTGCCATTTCAACTCGGCATCAGTAATTCTCGGAAGTGTACTCTTCAATAAAGCTATTTGACTATTACATTGATAAAATATTAATTCTATTAGTTTGATAATTTTCTGTGATGGTTTAACTGGATTAGAATCAATTAATAATTTAACTCCTTCAATAAATTGTAAATCCTCAGATGACTGATTAGTATGATTAGCAAATTCATATTTCCTCAAACTCTTAACAATAAAATTGAATAAAAAGACATCATTAAATTCAACAAGTTGTCTCTTCTTTGATAGATAAACATTTGGTCTCTTTGATCCGAACCAATTAAAAGATGATGGATAAATTTCATAGATTACATCATTAAACTCTGGTTGAAATATCAACCCTGATTCAGGTCCGAGATGATTTCTAGTTCTTGTTGATTTTTCTTGTTGATCACTAACTTGATATTTATTGGCAAAGAATTTAGCCAGGTGTTTGCTTGTCATTTTTTTTGAAAGAAGAAAACATTAGGAAATTCACTTCATTAAGACAAGAGAATGAATTATTGAATTTACAATAAATTATAGAAGGGTTTATTGCTCGCAGAAAGACTATACAAAATTGGGACTCGGATTATTAACAGTTAGGAAGGTTAGGGAAGGACTCGAAGTATACTATAGTTTGAGATTCAATTGGTGAATCTTATGGTGATGAGAATTGTTTATCTTCTTCTCTTGCTCTTGGCCATTTCTCTTCTGGTTCTATTGACCAATTCGTCTTTTTGTAAATAGTATACTTGTACCATTTCCTTAAGCTTTTCCTTCTTCTTCTTAATAATGATACCGTTCTTCTTTGTAAGAGGCATCTCCATATAGGTTGTGTGTTCATCAATAACAATGAAAAATGGTTCTTCATCCAATGATTTGGAAGAAGATGAGGCAGGCAATTCAATTGATGGTAAGAATGGACTGGAATATTTGTTCTTTGTAAGTGTTGGTTCTTCAGCTGGAGGAGTCAAGGTGAGAAGCATATCTGGGATTGGATCAGTTTGAGCTCTCTTATGAATATATCCACCAACAACCATACTTGTCTCATTTGAATACATTACAGGTGAAGATTTACTTCTGAGACGATCTGTTGTTTGGATTTGTGAGCTTGTTGGTGATGATTGAGCGAGTGTTCTATTGTTTTGAGTATGTACATAGGCACCAGTAATTTTAACTCTCTTTCCAGAGGCTGTTGTTGTTGGTGGAACAAATACTGTTGGAACGACTATTGTTTCTTCAACTGGTGATGATTTTGTTGTTGGTGAAGAGGATTTAGTTGACTTTTTGAAAATCTTGGTAAAGACAATCTTATTCTTCTTTGGACTTTGTGGTGAATCATCATTGGTTTGGTCAGCTTCTCCTTCTTGGAGTTGTGTCATAACTGGTTCTTTTCTTGGTCTTCTTCCTTTCATATAGCCTTTGACTGATTCTTCTTTGAGATTCTTGAGTTCTTCAAGAGCAGGCACACTTGATTTGGATCTTCTTCTCTCTACCATGGTATTTACAGGTGTTGGAGTAGAGTTTGATTTTCTATTTACATGTCTTGTTGAGGTATCGATTGGCATGATAGCATCAAAAGTATCGACAGCCAATGTGAGACTGGAACGCTTGTTTTGTTGGCCCATTGTTTATGATGATGGTTGAATGGTTATTGTTGTTGTAGCAGTATACTCCTTGGAGTTGAAATCGTAAATTCTATCAAATTCAACTTGATGTATTCTGAGACAATGGATAGATTACAACATAAATTGATAAAAGCATCCAAGTATTATTGTTATAACTTTCCAAAATATGTGTTTGCATGAAAATAGTTGAGTTTCTCTCAGTTTCGTATGTTTCATGGTTAAATATGAGGATCATAAACAACTAATTACTTCAAGCAATTTCTAATTGCATCTTTCAACACATATTGCAATCAGACTCTTCACACAAGATTCCAAGAGATACTTTGAATTATTTAGATTTACAGAACCTTATCAATGCTCATCAAGAGTTGTATTTATTGAGATAGCCTCTTTCCATATACTCTCACTGGCAATCAACGTATTGACCTTGCAGCAGTTTAACACTATTTTCAGAATATTAGTAAGCATTTGTAACTCAAACCAAAAGAAGTGGAATTACATACTACTCAGGTTGTCCATTCAATGGAATTTGAATATGCAATCAAAGTGGATAATTTTGAGGGAGATTGTCAGAAGTATTGCTGCTTTCAGAGGGAATCTTTGGTGCACTACACGTTGTAATACTCAGTTTTGAAAAATACAATCACCTCTTTTGCAAAATCAATTGACTATTGTGAATTTCACATAATCAATAGACATTCATAGAGATTTTAACATCAACTTTGAGCAGTGTCTTTTTAACAAACATTCAGTTAATTCAGTTATTAGGTAAACCAATTTTGGGTAGAAATTTCTCAGAATGTTTCAACAGTTATTCTGAGAGATTTTTAACGTTGACAAATGCATCAGTGTTTTGTATGTTGGAAAGATATCAGTTATGATTTTGGCGCCAATCACTGAATCTAGGAATACCACTTTTGATCTCGAAATATCCATTTTACGATCTTTGCAAGAAAATTACTCAATATCACACAGATATTTACCATGTTAACCGTTATTTCATTTGTCAACACTGTTTACCAATTATGTTATTTGAAGATCCGCTTCTAGTGATCAAACTTATTATTAGATTTTTGAAATAATATTAGAAACGAAACATCAAACAGCCATTGTATAAAATTAATATTACTACTTGGGGTTAATGACAAAGTCTCAAATTAAATGAGATAGGATGTATAGTATTCATTAATAGAGTTCGTTTCTCAAAGTTTCATTTCTGGGTTTAGAGCTCAAAAATCATTTGATGAAAAACCTAAATTGTTCTCTTGTAATAGACACGATATTCTGATAAGAAACTATTTTCATTTACATACTCAGCAATCATCAATTAGGGATGGTATTGGAAATTTGTAAAGGTTTCAAATTATTGTACATGTGATTTTTTCTTCTTTCTACGTCTCCTCTTCTTTGTTTGTTCATAATTATCATCATCCAATTGTGTACTTTCAGAAACTGTAGTTGATTCCATCTCTGTTGGTGTAAAAGATTGTGAACTAGATGCATGATATGATTTTGAATGAACCTTTTGGGAAAACTGTTTTGTCCTCTGCAAAACCATATTTCTCATATCAAGCCACTCTTTGCAATTTTGTTGTTGAGGGTGAAGGTGAATTGTAGGCCCAAAGTTAAATATGGATGTGTCTGGCATGTGAATCAACGTTCTCTTTTTAGTGGAGATTTGATGAGAAATGTCAGACATCCATTGTGAAATTATTTCATTCTCATTAATGGTTTCATAATCTTCACTACAGGTGATGTCTTTCTTTCTTTCTGGAAATTTCTTGATAAAGTTTTGTAAAATTAAAATCTCTGATCTACAGTCATAGCTTTACCGTAGTTGCAAGTTCAGTAAAAAATTATACAACAACAAGATCACTTACCAATTGTCCACCCCATCTGAGCAAATGTCATGTGGATAAATATTTTCAAATCTTGTAATATTATTAAAATAGAATAATTGATCAGAGTAAGAAAGATTATCATATTCAATTTGATTGGAATCTTTGATATCCTCCTCCTTAATGACAAGTCTGCATTCAGTTGTCCATTTTCTACCCCAAACTGGTAAATAAATATCACCTCTAAAGTATTTAATTTTACCTTCTGTAAATGGGAGTCTGAATTTTAACATACTGAATCGAGGGAGTAAAATTTCCAACCATCCTTTTTGTAATGTTAAATCTTCCGTAATACATTTTTCATTTTGTTCTGGATCCATAACTAGTGGATCAGCAGTTCTAATATCACTAATAAATAGTAAATTATTTCCACTTTCAATATTCCTAATCTTTTTAATTTCCATTGCAATTTCGTCTGTGAAATAACTTTCCATAATTGTTACATTTCTAACATGATACAAATCCTTATTAAACTTATTTGGATCCACAAGCATAAATTTGAGATTGGGAAATAAAACCTCTGCTAAATAAACTAAATGACTACCTGGAGCAGCTCCAGCATAAATCACGACATCTCCATCATGTGAATATTCGGTAAGAAATTCAATTTCTGATAAAAGTAATTTACGTTGTCCCCAATGAAGTGCATTTCTATTTCTCTTATTTTCATCAGAATATGGAATTTTGGGAAAGGTATCAATGCACATGATACGATGACTTTTTGTAGTGAATTCATCATCATCAATTTTAAATTTCAAATTTTTTGATTCTGATGCTACTATCGATTGTTGTGATTCCGAATCATCATTCTGTGAGGGTTCTTTTGGAATGAGATGATGTTGCTCTGTGAATGCTTTCACTCTTTCCAATGATGACGACAAACAAGATGAATTTTTATTGCTTGTTTCTTCCGTGTTGTGTTCTTTTTCCATTTTTTAGTTATTTCCACATGATTTTTTCAATAATTATTTGATCATGTAGTGTTCAAGGTTTTTATTTACAAAGATTAAGTTATTACTGAGAGAGATGAGCCAAATGGGATAAAATGTAAAAGACCCATATGTGAAGAGTTATAATATAAATAACAAGTAAAATTCTCAAAAGTGGTAATCTTCTCAAAATACTTCCAGTTGAAATTGAAAATGAATCAATAAAGGCCATAACATGAGCCACTCGCCTGGCAACAAAACCTCTCTTTGATAAATCTCTAAAGAATCTATCTGATTTTACAGAAACCGATGGTGCTTCATTATCAAATGGTGATTCTTCATCGGCATAATTTCTAGAAATTGGTGTAACCTGAGCTATCAGTTGAAGTTCCTTAATCTTCAATTGACATTTTTCCAAATCAAGTTGGATGGCTGCTTTTTCACTGTTTACAGTTTCGAGTTGGGACTGTTTCTCAATGAGTCTTTCAGCCATGGCTCTATTTCTCAGTTCAAGCTCATTTTGATTGGATGAATTATTATATTTGGCTTGATTGAGTTGCTTTTGAAGTTGATTAATTTCTTCCTTCTTCTCCTTCAATTGATCTTTAATGAGCTTCTTTTCATTTTCATATTGATGCTTCATTTCATCAAAATTAAGTTTCAATGAGGTTATATTTTCTTGGTATTTAGCGCTCAACTGTTTCTCTTTTTCAAGATTCTTTTCCATATTTTTCAATTTGAATCTGAGTGTATTCATTTCAGCTTCGTGTTGCTTTTTCATCAGCTCAATTTGTGATTGAAGTTCTTGATTATCAGCTTTCAAGTTTTCCAAATCCAAGAGCATGTCCTCTTTATCCAAGGCATTCATTAAATCAGTGTCGTCATCTGTAGCAGTTTCTTCCTTTTTATCACCTGATTCGGTTCCAGACTTTTTTAATTCTTCGATTTGTTTGTCTCTCACAGATAAGAGTTTGGCGGCTCTGTTCTTGTATTCCAAATATTCTTGATTTTTAGCTTGCCATTCTTGTTCTTTCAACTTGATATTGGATTCCAATCTAGATATTTCATCCAATTTCTCATTGAGAGTAGATTCCAATTCAGAGTATTCTTCTTTAAGCTTTTTAACAGCTTCTTGGTGTTTATGTTCCAATTCTTCCATCTTTTTGTGGATTTGTTTTTCCTCTTTCTTATTTTCCTTTTGTTGATTTTGGAGGTCTTCAATTTGTTGTTTCAGTTTGGTAATTTCTTCAGCAGTTGATTTTTCATATCTTAATTGCTCATTTGCCATCCTATTATTAAAATTAATTTATAATCAATAATAATAATAAAACGTACATGTCTTTTTCTCCTTGCATTTCTGAAATCAATAAATCTTTCAATTTCATTTGCTCTACTAGTGCATCAACCCTCGATTGATACTTTTGGGCTTGTTTATCACGTTCATTGAGTGTATTTGTTAACTCTGTGTCTGTTTTAACTTTCTCTTCCAAAAGTCTTGAAACTTGTTCTTCCAATCTCTTCAAATATTTAAATATTCATGCTATTTCCAGAGGTACTTACATTCTGTGATTCGGCATTATAACGTTGTGAATGTTTTGATTGAGAAGTTAACTTGTCGAAATGTTCTTTTAAATTCTTGTTAAAGTATTCAACTTTCTTCACTTGATCATAGAGAGTAACAATTGATTTCTCATTGGAAATTTCTTGATTTTGCTTCAAAGTTTCATCTCCTTCCACTTGGACAGTAGTTTCTCCAATAATTGATGAATTTGCACAATCCTTTACAAACTGCAAGGCTTCTTCCAATCTTTCCGATTCACTCTTCTTGAAGAATTCATTCATCAATTCCTCCTCCGCCTCTTCTCTGATCTTATCAAAATTAACATTTTCAACAGCAACACTATTTGTTGTTGATGTTAATGCAGTATGATTTGCTGTAACAAATGCAGTACCTTCTTCCGATGATTTATAGTGATCAACATTCTTTGATTCATCTTCATGAACCGAAGAATCAATTCTACTTTCCGAATCATCATCCAATTTCCCCAATGTTGTCAGTTTTTTAGATGCTCCTGCTGTGCTTCTATCCACAGTTTCCAATGTTTGTTCTGCCCATTTGAGAACAGAGTTTGCCCACATTTTTTATTATTAATTAATTTTTATTTGATTTCCTTCCAATTCTATTTAATTCCGATTTAATTTGGAAATTTTGTAGTTTATCATTTCTTTTAGGAGAATGTTATTAAACACTTTACAATGAATATTTATTAATTTATAAATATATATTATTAATAATTATTTAAAAATCGAATTATAAAAAATGATGTCTTCAAATCAAGCCTATTATCATAGTCCATATGCTTTGCAATCACAACATCCTTTACTACAACAATCACACGAAGAAAAAATCAAAGAAAATGTTAGACTCATTCGGAGGATGTGTTACTTGTTAGAAGTTACTCAATCAGCAACATGTACAGCCTTGTATTATTTTCATTCAAGTTTGAAAACAATAGAACATTCGTCATGTGATTGGACACTTATTTCATGTGCTTGTGTTTTTCTAGCTTGTAAAAGTGAGGAACAAGTGAGAAGAGCAAGGGATGTTATTAATTCTTGTCGGAAAGTGTTGGATCCTGAGAGTGAACCATATGGATTACTTGACACTGATCTTCATAATTTCAAGGATTGTATTATTGGATATGAAAGTATAGTGATGAGAAGTATCAAATTTAAATTTGCTGTGGTACATCCACATAAATATATTTTGGGATATTGTGATTCATTGAATGGTTATAGAAATTTGGTTATCAAGAATAGTTTTATTCAATTTTGTTTTAAATTAGTGGATAAGATTTATGATTCAAAATGTTGCTGTACCTATTATCCAAATGAAATTGCAGCTTCGATAATATACTTGACAGCTGAATTACTTGGAATTAATGAATTAATGTTAACCAAAGAGGAAGCAACAAGTGAAACGAAACAAGTTTGGTTTAATATCTTTAATGTGGAGTTTAAAATAATAGTGGAATTAACCTCAACAATCAAAAGTCAATTGAAATAATTTACAATTTATTCTTGAATTTAGGTCTACGTTTTTCCATGAATGACATGAAAGCTTCAGTTAAATCATCAGATTTCAAGAAAGCACTATTCCAAAGTTTGACATAGGCCAATCCATCCTCAATTGAATGTTCTTCAGCATGATTCATAATATGTTTTGTAGATTGAACAATGAGAGGAGAGTGAGAAGCAATAGTTTTAGCCATCTTGTCAACAGCTTCAAACATTTCCTTTTGAGAATCGAATACTTGATTGACAAGTCCAAAATGATAAGCACGATCTGCCTTAACATCAGCAGCAGTGAATGCCATTTCTCTTGCAAAACCCTTTCCAACAACTCTGTGAATTCTATTCAAAGTACCCAAATCAGCAGTAATTCCAACAGCGGTTTCTCTAATACTGAAAATAGCATCCTTTGTACAAACTCTAAAATCAGCAGCAAGAATCATATCAATAGCTCCACCAATACACATTCCATTAATAGCAGCAATCACTGGTTTCTTACAAGTTTCCAAAATTCTAAAAGCTTGTTGCATTTCATTAATTAATTTTGATAATTTCAAATTGGCCACAGCAGGAGAAGATTCATCATCGGAAGCTGATGGCATAATATCAGAGGCAACACTCTTCAAATCCAATCCAGCAGAGAAGTGCGGACACTGATCAACAGGTGTACTCTTCAATACGATAACATAAACATCATCTGATTCATTCAATCTATGAATGGCTTGATAAAATTCAGAGAAGAATGGTTTGTCCATCACATTCATCTTCTTTGGTCTATTTAATACGACAGTACCCACATGATTAGAAATATTAACTGCAAAACGTTCCGATGAGAGATTTTGCTTGGTATTATTTTCAACTCCTTGTTGATTTGAAGACATTTTTATTTCCTATTTTCCTTTTGATTTTATTTCAAAAGTTTAATTTACAAAAACAAAGAATTAATATGAAAAACAACGTTTACAACAAACAATGATAACATTAACATATTATTAATAATATAATTGAAAGTGTTGGATGCAATTACATTTGGAAAACATTTAATTGTTTTTTTAAAGAAAGGGTTTCGCCACTTGTCAAATGTTTACAAATCAAAACATCATAGAAAAAAAATGATGCAATCCATTGATGCTGCCACAACACCCATCCATTACAAACTAGTCAAACAGGGTGAAGTAAAGAAGAGTGGCATGTTATCATGGAAGAAAACACTCATTTCACTCAACTCACATCCAAATTCACTTTCCATTCTTTCGTCCGATGGAAAGGAAAGAAAATCAACTTTAATTCTTGACTCTGCTCATACTATCACTAATTTGGAATTTACAAAGAAACATCCATTCTGTTTCTATGTTAAATCACACATTGAAGGAAAGAAAAAAGAAGAAGAATGGACATTTGAATGCTCATCAAAGGAGGAAGCAGAGGAATGGATTGAAAGTATTAAAAAGTTAATTGGCAAGGGAAGTGCCAATACTAGCAATTCAAATATGGTTATTACTGTTAAACAACCAAATGATAATGTTGTTGAAACTGTTAAACCACAAACAAGTGCAACAATACAATCATCTTCATCAACAATATCAGCAGTGGCTTCATCTTCAGTTGTGAGTGAAGAAAAATCATCTCCAAAGAAGGAAGAAAAAATTGAGGATGTTAAAAAGGTCAAGAATGAAGAATTGGAAGAAATTCAACCTGCTGAAATTGAACCATTGGAAGCAGAAATGGAACCTGAAGAATTGGAGGAAGAAGAGCCAATCAAGTTAGAAAGTGCAGTTGTTAGAAATGTCAAGGATGAACAAGTTAGTAAGGTTACACCACTTTTGACATCAACAGCACGTTTGGAAAGTGATAGTGATGAAGAGGAAGATATTATTGTCACTAAAAAGGCATCAAATAAGAATGTTAAACAAGCATCTCCTGTTAAAACCAGCAAGCCAACTTCTACTGCTCCAGTTAAATCTAAAACTAGTGTATTGAAGGATGATTCTGATTCAGATGATGATGGAAAGATTGTATCAAAGAAAGTTACATCAAACCCTAGACCAACTGCTACAGCAAGTGGGGGTCCTCCAAATAAGAAAAAGACAACAGTTCTCAAAGATGACGATTCAGATGAAGAAGAGGAAATTAAGAGTGACAAGAAGGCCCCAACTAAAACTCTCAAACTTGATGAGGATGAAGATGAGCCAGTAATTTCATCTGCTACCAATAAGAAACCGTCAACAAGTGGTCCAAGAAGTAAAAAGACAGTTCTGAAAGACGAATCAGATGAAGAAGAAGAGGAAGAAATTCAAACAAAGAAACCATCATTTACCAAGTCAGACTCTAAACCAAACTTGAAAACGAAAGTAGAATACTCATTGGTCGATCCTTCATTTGATTATTCTCCTCTTCCACCATCTGGAGGAGAAGAAGATGAACCAATAGAAGATGAAGATGACGAAATTCCAAAAATTGACGATATTTCACAACTCATTGAAGAATTGGAATATAATTCACAAAGTCACAAACGTGCATTGAATGCTGCCAAATATCTCTATGAACGTTACAAGAAGGATGCTGCTTCACTTGTTGAGGATATTGTTTCAAATGAAGGTTTGCAAGCATGTGTTTGCATGTTGAATGATAACACCAGATCCTACTCTATTTGCCTGATTGGCTTGTTAATTTGTAACAATATTTTGGTAACTAAGTCTGGTAACAATGAACCAGCCAAGGCAATGATGAGATTAACTGGTTTGGTTAATTCATTGCACAAGATTATCAATGAACATTACCTGAAATTCAAATTGTTCAATGCAAACAACCTTCCAAATAACTCAAATGCTCCAATTAATAACTTTGAAAATGTAACAGTTATTTCACTTTCTTTGCAATTATTGGGATTATTGTGTGAGAGACCAAATGAACAATTGAATGAATTAATCTCTCAAAAACAACTCGATTTCATCATCAAGTATTGTGAAGAAGTAATGACTACACTTTACACACAAAAGGAATACTTGTACTTGTTCGACTTGTCCAGAAGTTTATTTAATTTATTGAATAACATTTGCTTGCATAATTTGGAATCTTTAAAGAATATGAGTAAGAGATTGTTGGCATTTGATGTGATTGTCAAGTATTTGGTATATTTCTATGGAAATGGACATTTATCATTCACTTCTATTGCTCCATCTCAAGCTTTCTTATTACTTGGAAACAACTTTGATGATTTCAAATTGAATATGATGAATTGCGAATTGAATGTAATTTTAATTCCATTCACTAAATTTGTTGCTCTGACAGCCAAGGAGAGCACAGCCAAAGCAGAAATGACAAAGATTATGGTAACTCAAGGAGGTGTTACAAGTTTACTAACAAACAGTAGTGGAAATAACCAATACGTTACAAAAATCTTTTCAGAATTATCTGATTCTCCTCTCGTATTGAAATCATTCAAGAACTTACTCCAATTGAATTTGAAGAATAAGGAAACAGTTACCAACATTTTAACTATTTTGAATGTAATTTACAGAAATAGAAATGATAAGGATAAGCTGATTGAAATTCTGGCCTCTGATTTCAATTCAATCTTCTTTAGCATTTTGTCTAAATATCCTGAAGAAGGTTGGATCTTGTCATATTGTGTTGAATTCTTGAACGATATTGAGAAGAATTACCCAGACAGTTTAAACAAGGGATGGAACGATATTTCAATGGACGAACAAGCTGATAGAAATGTTTATACCAATGTTAGAGTTTTGATTCTTTCATTTGGTTTTGGAGATCCTGAATTACAAGAAATGGTATTGAGCTTGTTCACGAAACATTTGAATCATAATAAGGAAACAGCTGGTACCCAATTTGCTAGTACATTTGGTTTCCATGTTGCTCTCTTGGATATCGTTACAAAAAATTCATCCAAGAATACTACTCTTACAATGGCTTTGAATCTCTTGTTAGAAATTATGCCATTCACTCAATTCAAGGAAACTGAGGAGCAAGCTCTTGTTCAAAATTTGATTACCTATGATTTGAGAGAAAAGATTATCTCAACCCTCGTGCAGAAACTCAAAGACACTTCAATCGATAAGAGTGTTTGCACTATCATTTCAAACATTTTACATTCGATTTGTGTACATTACGATGTTATCAAACTTTCTATTGATGATATGAAGATTATTGTCAAGGCAGTTCAATCATACATTCTCACTGATAACGAATTGGCTGTCAGTATTTTACTTCTCTTCTCAAAGATTGCTCAGAATTACATGTCACAAGTTGACAAGTCAGGAGCTCTCGAATTATGTAGAAAGATTCTTCAAACAGATAGCAAACAAGTTAAAGAAATTAAGGACCAAGTTAAGAATTTAAGTAAATAAATATTAATAATTGTATTAAATTTGAAATAATTGTTTAATAAGCTTAGTATGGACCACCACCTCTACCACGTCCACGACCTCCTCTTCCTCTGCCACCTCTTGGGACAAATCCACCACGTGGAGCTCCTCTTGGAGCACCTCTTCCTCTACCTCTTCCCCTAGTTGTTGTACTCAACCCTGGAATATTGGTTCTCTTAGCAAAGACTTTCAATTCTCTATTTCTAAATGTTGAACCGTTGAGTTGGAGAGCATTTTCAACAGAACTCTTGTCTTTAAATTCAATATAAGCAAAACTGTTAATAATTGACGGTTAAAATTAATGTAATTAATTGACAGTTTGTATAATTAATATTTTGTAATGTTGTTGTTGTAAATATTTTGATATTGCCATTAAATAATAACCAAACATACCCTTTAGGATTACCCATCTTGTCACTCTTGATTGTGATTCTGATGATATCACCAGCTTGTTTAAAGTGGTTTTCCAATTCCTCAGCAACAGATCCGTAATCAACATTTCCTACATAAATAGATCTAGAATCAATTTCTTCTTGATTTTCAGCAACAGTGCTCAAGTTCCTTTCAATTTCTGATTGCATTTCTTTAATCTTGGCGTGTTCCTCTTGCATTTGTTGTACTCGCTTTTTTATACTTTCAATTTCCTAATAATCATCATCATCAAATAATATAATTTTTTTAAAATTAATTCCATCAATATTTCGATGATCCGACAACTCTCCACTTACATCGTTGATATTTTCTTCTTCTTCTTCGTAGTTTTCTTCGGCTTCCTCGTAATTGGTATCTTTTGGCATTTTTTTAAAGTTATTTTTATTTTACTCCACTTTCAAATTCAACAATTATTTGAAATGTTAGAGAGATTACAACAAGAATAAAGTTTATTGAGAGTTTGGTATTTCTTATTCTTCATACCACATGTAAATTGTATTCTTTTCACTGTGAAGAGCTTCGTCTGTAAAGACAGTAATTGGTTCTCTTTGAATGTTTGGCTTGAAACAACATGGAATTTCCAAACATAATTTGGGAGATGGAATTTCATTGTAAAACTCCCATAAATCAGCATGTGAATGAACTGCTACAATGATATTCAAATCTGATTTGAGTGATTTTACCTTTTTGAAAATAGAAGTTTGAAGAAATTCAGTGCTTGTCATTGAGAAGGGATATAATCTCTGAATGGATGGTGTTGATTCTAATCCTTCTACAAAATCTTGTTCTTTTGGTTGACCTTGTTCATTATCCATTGACACCACATCATTGTTAAATTTACAGACCCACTTTTGTTTCATTCTTGGATCAATGGAAAATACTCTCCAATTTGTAGCACAAGCAAATACAGCAGCAGTTCTAGGAACATTTCCATCAGCAATTACATAACATTGAACGTTCCTATTGGATATGATATTCAAGTCGTTTTTAAATTCCAAATAATCCCTAACAGAATAATAGGCAGATAAACTTTCAGAAACTTCCTTTCCATTAGGAAATAATTTTAAATTCAAGAGTGGAGGAAATTGTGAAGCAACACACATATGATCAAAGTAGAGCAACTTGTTTTCCGAATGAATAACATGAGGCTCAACAGATTGATAAAACTCATCCACCAAATTTGCTTCTATTACATTGATTTGTTGATTCTCTTCTCCACTACTACTAACATGACTTGATTCCACATCACTACAACATTTCTTTTTCTTCAATCTTTCAGTAAAGTGAGCAAGTTTTAATTCCTTCTTCTTCTTTTTGGTTTTTTGATGAGTAGGTTTCATTTCCTTCCCATTTTTTAATTATCAGCTTTGCCTACAACATTACATAGGCAAGGGTTCATCACATAAACTGCACAGTATTGATATGAATATAATTTGATTATCCCGCTGCAATTGATGGAGAGAAGTTGCACCGAAGAAAGAACTCATCAATACATTAAAAAAATGATTCCATCATCATCAGCTGCTGAAAACGAAGCAATCAATAATATTCATCAACAAAACGACGATGAACAATCAAAGGAAATTGAAGAAAGGAAGAACATGTTGGAGATGATCGAAGAGAATGTTAATATTGGAGATATTAGATTAATGTTAACACTTATCGGAAATTTGGAATCTAATGTTTCTGATTTAACTGATGCTTGTCAAAAATTAGGAGACTTGTCCAGAGAATGTTAGTAGTAGTAGTTTTAAATTTCAAATGTGTACTGATTAATTAAATAGTAATTAATAGAGATACAATTAGAGAAGTTGGTGGAGTGCCTGTGATTTGTGGATTATTACGTAGACATACCACAACTTTGGAAACAGATAAATTACCACTCTATTTCCAATTGTGTAGAGTTTTGGGTAATTTATGTTTTGAACACTCTGTTAATGCTTTGATTATTTGTGATGAAGAAGGATTGTCGGTTCCTGTTGTACAAATTGTTTGTGGATTTATCCAATTTGCTTTAGATCATGATGATGTTAATTTGATTAGAAGCGTTTGTGCTTGTATTGCAAATTTTGCACACTCAGATGGTAAGTTGTTATTATTGAACTATTGATTTCTTACATTTGCAGATGGTGTTAGAAGAAAGGTTGTTTCTTATGGTGGTGTGACTTCACTCATTAAACTCATTTACACTTATAGAAGTAATGAGGTTAGTGGAGTACTTTATCACTCATTGAGAGCCTTGGAAAATGTTTGTGAAGTTCAAGAGGCTTGCGAACAAATCATGACATCACAAGTAGAATCAAAGAATGCTCTCGATATTATTATTGATGAAATTCTTGCAAATCCATTATGTGAAGGAAATATTCTTGGTGTTGCCATTAAATTGGTTGGATTAGTCGGATCACACAGTAAGTATCAGTAATAATTATATTCAATAATTAACAATTTCTTTAGAGGAATTCAATGAGCTCACAATTGAACATTCTAATCTTATTCAATCATTGGATAATATTTTAATGAGATATATTCAAATTTCTGAATCATTGGATGAAAATGAGGATGAGGATGAAGAATCTGTCCAAGAAATTGTCACTCAAGTTATTCATTTATTGGATGTTTCTCTCGTTAAGGTCAATAATAAGTGGGCTGAAGTTTTGGTAAAGGATTCTAAAGATTTTATTAATACATTGAAGAGATTCGTGCACTCACATACTCAACTTCCAGAATTCAGAAAGAGAATGCAAGAAAGTGTTGTTGAGTTCCTTTCAAATGTTGCAGAAATTGATCACATCCAATATTATATGGCCACAGAATTGGACTTGATTGACCCAATGCTCACACTCATTGAATCTATTTTGAGTACCTTGCAAATTGCCTCCTCTTCCAAGCTTTTGAGATTTGTTGTTAAACTTTTAGGATTCCTTGCTCTTGAACGTAAGTTTCAAAATTTATTTGCAAATATCTTAATTTGCGAATCTTTATTGATATAGGTCGTAACCTTCCAATGATGATTGAAAAGGGCGTAGTTCAATCTTTGACAAAGATCTTAAGCGTCTTGTATCACAACCAATTATCTCCAGAATATCAAGAAGCCAGCCCTATCGCTACTCAAATGAATAATTTCATTCAAAGAAATTGTTGTATTGCCTTGGGTAATATGGGAACTACAGGTTTGTATTATTGAGCTAAGTGGTGATTTTCTAACCTCTTATTACAGATGTTACTTGTAAATATATTGTTGAAAGTGGAGCAACTATTCCACTCGTAGAAATGTTTGAAATGTTAGCAGAAGCAACTGATTACTCTGAAATTGATATCAGTTTGATGGTTAATGCTCTCTTTGCCTTCTCCAATTTAACTAAGGCCAGAGAAAATCAAAATGAAATTATCAATCGTCACAATAATATTTTAACAACTCTCTACAAATTAGCTACCAATGACATTCACTTCATTGTGTGCTTCTACTCATTAGAGTCATTGATTAATCTCATCTTTAATAATGAAGAAAATGCCAACAAACTCTTAACTCTTCATCCAGATTTTGCCTCCAAACTTGTTGAAGTGATGAAGCTCAGAAAGGAAAAGGTTAAAGTTTCATTCATTATTGTGAAATGTCTATTCACACTTTTCAAGATGAACAAATTGACCATTAATGTTTCACTTGATGAAGAATTTATGAAAGTCATTCAAGAAATGGAAACATCGAATGAAGATCCTAAAATCCCTCTCCTCATCAATGAACTCAAACAATCCAACTTTTTCCAATAATAAATCTATTTATTTTCTGTAATTATTAAACAACAAGTTCCGAATATATCCAAATTATCTTACCAATATTCTTTCCCATTATTGAAGAATTAAAGAATAAATTTCTCTTCACCATCATCACAGTTTCTTCTCTTCAATAAATAATTGAAGGTAAAAATAAAAAGAAGAACAAATTTTTGAAAAAAATGAGCAACTTGGCAACACTGGCAGAAATTGAGAGGGATTTCTCAGCATCATCAAAAAACCAAATCAAACAACTTAACTTTGAATATAATAATGTTGATGATGATAAATATTTAGCAGCATATGCGGATAAATATAGAAACGATGAATTATTAATTGATGATGTAGAATTAGAAGAAGCCGAACTGGAAGCCTATAAAAACCTGATGGAAGCCCAAAGAAGAATCGAGAAAATGGAAAATGGTGAAGGTGAAGACTCGGCTTCAATTTCCCAAATGTTTTTGAGAGATACAAAGGAAGTTTTTGATGTTGATGCTGTTAAAGCTTGTATGAACAAATTACCTATTCAAACAAAGAATTTGGATTGGGTTTTTACTTTACAACTTACATCACCTACACCTGTGAAAGTTGAAAATCATGAAGATGATATTGATAGAGAAATTCAATTCTATAATCAAGCTGTCACTAGTGCTAAGGAAGGTTTTAAACAATTACACACATTGGGAATTGCTATTCACAGACCAGATGACTATTTTGCTGAAATGGTCAAGTCTGATGAACATATGGCCAAGATTAGAAACAAATTGGTTCAATCTAGAAAGGTCATTGAAGAAAGAGAAAAGAGAAGACAAAGAAAGGAACAACAAAAGATCGGAAAACAATTAAAAGCTGAAAGAATTAAGGAAAAGATTCATCAAAAGAAGACTGATATTGATGCTATTGACCATTGGCGAAGAACTCATTCAGGAAGTGGTAAAGAATTTGATGTTGATAAGGCTACTGAAGAATATAAAAAGATACAAGGATTGTCTGATAAAAAGGAAAGATTCTCTAAAGGTGGAGCTCAACAAAAGAAGAATAATGCCATCTCCAAGAAGAGACCAGGTAAAAGGTCGAGAGGCAAGTAAAATAAATCTTATTTTCATTCATTTACTCTCTGTTGCTATGCAAATGACAAGAAATGCATTTTGTAATTGCTCGTTAACTACTGTAGACAATAATTTGTCATCCAACACACTTGTGGTCATGCACAAACTATTTGGGTACGTTCAACTAGTCAAACTAGAAACCACCACAAGTACAGTACCACCTCCTCTAAAAGAATCAAGAAAATATCTAGTCATCACTACAAAACAAGAAATGCATTGAAAATTACAAGCAAACAGCTTTAAAAAAATGAATAGACATGAGTATGAAGCTATCGGAGGAGATGAAGATGAGGATGTTAGTTTGGTGAGCGTGAATAAACACCAACAACATCAACAACAAATTTCACAAAATAATCAAGATGGAGATGGAATACGAAGATATAGTGTTTCATTTGCTGAGGTAGTTCATAGAAAGGAAAATCCTAAAAAGTTTGAAAAGACCATTCCTAGAGATGCTTATTCAATGGCTAGAATTATGTTTTTATTGATGGGATCGGGTATCTTGGTTCCTGGAATTTGTTTTCAATTATCTGTCGATTGGTTTACTTTGATATTTCCGACACCATCACCAGATAGTTTCAATCTTTTTGACTTTTTAGAATATATACTTAGTTTTGGATTTAATATAGGACAATTGACTTCAATGATAATTTATACAATATTCATGTGGAGGAAATCTGTACATACTTTAAAAGCACAAACATTTACAGTAGAACAATTTATTTTCCTAGGATATGCATTGAATTTTGTTTGTGTATTGGTCACATTGTTTATTAATGTGATTTTAGTCAATCAATATGGATTTAATAATAATGAACAAACCTATGATAAGATATTCATGTTGACTTGTGTCATTTGTTTGAAT